AGACGAAGTGGCACGGGTTGTCGGCCAGATGACCATCGAACAAAAGATCGGGCAAATGACAATGGCTATCCAGTGGGGGATAAGCCCTAGCGACATGAAGGCCAACTACATCGGGTCGTACCACGAGGGTGGCGACGCCGATATCGGTGACAACTCAGCACAAGAGTGGGTCAGGCTTTCAGATCGTTACTGGAACGCAACCACGGATGTTGACGACGCGGTCATCCACCCTCTCCATGGGGTCGATGCCGTCCACGGGCACAGCAACGTCCCCACGGCGACATTGTTCCCGCACAACATCGGTTTAGGGTGCGCCAATGACTCCGCCCTTATGCGAAGGATTGGCAAGATAACCGCGAAGGAAATGGTGGCCACGGGCGTTGACTGGGCGTTCGCGCCAAGCCATGCAGTTGCGCAGAACTGGCGGTGGGGAAGAACGTACGAGTCGTTCAGTCATGTAAGGAAACATTTCACGAGTGCGTGCGGATGAACGCTTGTGCTGCTGTCTGTGCTTGCAGATACCAGACACCGTCGAGAGACTTGCCACGGAGTTGGTCGTCGGTACAGCGATAGGCTCGCACAGACAGCTTCTTTCGTATCTAACCGTTTGTTCAGGCCTCCAGGGCGATCCGGCTTCGGCATTTCTCGGTGGAAAAAATGTCTTGGCGTGCGCCAAGCACTTCGGGGGGGACGGGGGCACCGAGGGAGGGCTCGACCGGGCAGACTTTCGTGGGACGCTGCAAGAGTTAAAAGACACCCACCTTTCGCCATACTTCGGCTCCATCCAGGCCGGAGTGCAGACCATCATGGCATCGTTCAATTCGTGGAACGGCGTGAAGGCGCACGGGAATGAATTTCTTCTGAGGGACATGTTAAAAAGGAACCTGGGCTTCACCGGGCTGGTAGTCGGTGATTGGTGGGGGCATGAAGAGGTGGACGGGTGCTCGAGGTTCCTGTGCGAACAGGCAGTCGAAGCAGGTAAGAAAAAGAGACAGAGAGCAATGGAAAAAAAGGACCACTACAAGGGTTTCTGGTGCGCTTGACAGGCGTTGACGTAATGATGGTTGTGAATGAGTGGAGGCCGTATCTCCAGCATACGATCAGTTCAGCCAAGAAAGGCGACATCACAGCAGAGAAGATTGACGATTCCGTTAGACGAATTCTCACAGTCAAAGCACTCTACGGCGCCATGACGACCCCGACTCTTCGAGCAGCAGGCATAAAGGAGCGAGCTCCCCCGTCGCAGCGGCCTGGCGCAGGACACTTGTCGGTCTTGGAGGCTGCCGAGCATCGCGAGACGGCACGAGAAGCTGTGCAGAAGTCTCTGGTCATGCTCAAGAATGGTGTCAAAGGAGCGACAGGCAAACCTATACCCCTGTCCACGACGGGCAAGTATCTTGTCGCTGGGAGGTGTGCAGATAATATCGGCCTGCAGAATGGGGGATGGACGAAAGACTGGTAAGTGCGTGGCCCTTAACATCACCACACACAGCTCTCTATGGGCCATTTGGCCGGCTAATCAGTCCTACACTCATCGCTCTCATAGGCAAGGCAGTGCCAACTACCCCAACCACCTTTTCGGGAGCAAGAGTGAATCGATCTACGAAGGCATCAAGAAGGCTACGGAGAGGGGCGGGTCGGCAACCCTCCATCAGATACGCGAGGGAGAAATTCCCGATCTTAACAGCTACGATGGCGTCATCTTCTGCACGGGAGAAAGCCCATACTCAGGTCAAAACGGACTGGACACTTACATATGTGCAGCATGTATGAATGTTTCTTTCGCGACCAGAGTATCTCGGTGACAGGCACTGGCCAGCATCGATGGAATTTGGAATGTCAGCTGTCGGCGTTCCCGAGACACAATTCCTCAATGAGGTCCGGATTAAGTACCCATCTTTGACCATCGTGACCATCTTGTGCTCGGGCCGCCCGCTCTACATGAACGAAGAGATGAACCTGAGCGATGCCTTCATCGCGGCGTGGCTACCTGGGACACAAGGTGGCGGGGTGGCAGACGTGCTCTTCGGGAAGAACGACTTCGTGGGCAAGTTGTCATTTCAGTGGCCATTGGATCCGTGTCTGACTACGCAGTACAATGGCACCCATGGGGATGATCCGCCCTTCAGTAATCTGATGCTGCCGATTGGGTACGGGCTAGCGTACGACGACGAGTCGCCGATTTCAACCCTTAAAGTTGACCACTTGCGAGTGAGAAAGACAGACTTCTCTTCACGATCTCTCGATTTGCTCGTGGCTTGTTTGCAGACTTGCACAAATCACGTGAGGACCAAGACGAAAATATAGGTCTGCAGGGTCGTAGGTCATATTGCATGTCCCGAAGGTAGGCAGGAAATGAGGAGAGGGACAGATTATCAGCTTTGTAAGTCAAGTGCACACACTTATAGACCAAGCGCACTCTCTAAGGGTGTCTGGAAATTTGCGCTCATATTCTTCCTGCTGAATACACCATGTCTGCTTATATGGACACATTGCTGGCCAGTGTCCTAATAGGACGAACAAGGAGCACTCGGAGACACCATTCGTACAGACACTGTTTGCTGACTCGCCGAGAGGCCGCTCGTTTTAAAGGTGCTTAGTCAGACACGGCACGGGGGCTGCGTCTGACACCGAACGGCAGGGAAAGCGGACGGGTAGCGCTGTGTCGCGAGGCCGAAATTATCTCTGCCCTGGGAGACATGATGGTGTACAGGCGAATCGTGATGTAGAGGCCCTACTTACCAGCTCGGGTTTGAGAAACCGCACCATCGAAAAAAGACATCTGCCGAAATCCGTCTGCGAAATCCGATTAGCAAGTGATAAAACAATATCCGATGCAACGGCTTTTATCACGTTTTTCAGTCACGGTTCTCGCCATAGTCACCATAGCGCGACCCCCCACTCCGGGACTCCAAGATCCGGCTGTGCAGACCAACTAAGGGCTCCATTCTCGATCAGCGGTGAATGGACGCAGTACTCTGGTGACTCATTAATAGGGTGCTTTATTGATGATTGAGCGGGCCTTAACCTTCCCATTGAGAAGATTGGCATGAGCCACCCGTGTACAAGAAAAGACCACTCTCGGGTGCATGCCATCGGGTACACTGATCGGGGCAGATTGCTCGTCCGCTCGCCGGGCTCAGGTGGCCGTCTCCCGCCAGCTCCCTCCCTGCGACGCCGGCCGCCGAACGCCGAGTCGCAATGCGATGGTGGTGAGAGGACTCTCGCCTTGCGACAGATCACCGTGAGAATACGTGAGAAACGCCCCGGGCCCTGCACAGCTCAGGGCCCGGGGCAACGCCCACATCCCACCTCGCCCAGCGGACCGAGAGAGGGAGGTGCGGTGGTGTGAGGCGTAAAGAGGGAAGGAGGAGATGAAGAAAGAGATGGTGATTGGCTTCCTGCCTTCCTCGCAGTCGATGATGAAAGACATGGCTAGTAGCAGTATTGGACTACGATGCAACCGTAAGAGGGAAGTCTCACTTTGATAATATGCGACTTCTGTCTTCTCAAGGAGGGGCACACAGCCATGAAAGAGAAGGGTCTGTGATACCTTGCTCGTGATATCAATGGCATCTTCCAAGCCTTCCTGCCCCACCAATGCAGCGTGCAAAGGTAATAGTTTCCACTGGCGAGCCTTGCCATGCGCCAGCCCAACGCGGAGGCTTTGATAGGTTTTGGACGGCAGAATATCGACCACAAACAGAGACGAAAAGGTGGACGAAAAGGTGCCGCTGCCTACGCTTGTCAGGCGTGAGCAGGTGCGCCGCGTTCGATGTCCGTTGCGGGCTTCTTCATAGCGTCACTATCCCGACACAAGGGCATTGACAGGAGACAGACACTCGCTGTCGGGCGATGTCCAGTGCGAAAACTCCGACCAGAGACCGACAGAGACGGCAAGAGTTGTGCCGCCACTTGTAATGCGGGCAGGGACAAGACGAAGTGTATCGCTGGATAGACCCTAGCGCTGAGACACGATAAGGACAGAGACCGATCGCCTCTGCCCAACACGACAAAGATACATCCCACAGTCGCACCCACGTGCGATGTGATGCGGATACCGACAACAGCAAAAACCGCTAGTTCGCGAGTGTCACATGCGGGACCACCATGCAAGCCAGGAAGAGCCTCGATGAAATTGAATAAAGCCGCAGACGCGCTTCTGCACGAATGCTCACGTTCACGGGCCCTGGATAAGCCCTGTGCGTCGGTGCATCAATAGAACGAGAATGTTCCGCCGCAAGGCCCGGATGAGACAGGAGACGTCGTCGCACTGCGAATACCGCGCGAGGGCAAGATCGGCCAGAGGGCCGGCATGCGAATTTCGTGAGTGAGAGCTGAAATAGGACACAGTGCCGCTGCGGAGCGTGAATGTCGTGCGGAGGGGCGGCCCCACCGCACGACTGCCGCGCGAATGTCAACGCGAGAGCAACCATAATACAAGTAGAAAATTGTGCGCGAGAGAATAGAGGAGGCCAAAAGGCGAGTCAACTGTCAGGGCACAGAAAAATCGAAAGAGCACCCTCCACGCGAATGTCGTGCGTGAAAGCCGAGACAACGCATAGTGTCACTGTAAGGGCACTTAAGCAATCAAAAGGGCCGCATTCACGAGTGTGCCGTGTGAGAGCCGAGATAACGGAGAGTGCCACAGCAAGGCACCGACGGGACAAAAGCGCCGCATCCGCGCGAATGCCGTGCCCGAGAGTTGAGACAAGGCAGAGTGCCGCTGCTCAGGCGCTGTTAGGAAAGAGAAAGGCCGAAAGGGCTGCTCAACCGCGAATGTCGTGGCAAGGGCCCAGATAAGACGAGAAGTGCCGCTGCCAGGGCGCAGATGAGACCAAGGTTCGGCGCGACCGCGAATGTCGTGCGGAGGGCCGCGAATGTCGTGCATGAGGCGGGGAGTTTCAAAGTTTGGGCGCAGAAGCGATGAACGAGCCGCTCAGCTGGAATTGTCGTCCACAGCCCACAATAAGACACATGAGACGAGAAATACCGATGCTGTGGCCCACAGCAGAGACGAAGGAGCCGATCAACTGGGAGCGTCGTCCGGGAGCTCAGATAAGCCGAGAAGTGCCGATGCTGAGGAAAACAGAAAAGAGAAATGGGCCGCTATCGTTCGCGGGGGTCCAGGTCGTGGAAAGGGTATTGAATATAAGAAGAGCAAGATGCACACTGATGCACACACACACACACACACACACAACACACACAAAACACGCATGTACCTTCCCTTTTTGCCGCTTACCGTGTTTGGATGCATGGTGCAGTATGGTTGGAGATGGACGAGTTGTGGGGGAAGAAGGCTGGGGTGGCGGGGCTGGGGAACGACGATCTCCTGCTCGGACGGCACATCTCGTTGGAAAAGGGAATGAAGCCCTGAGATCAAAGTATCATCACCACAAACATCACGCGTCCACGGTGGTGGCCGTGTCGTCGCCAAAAGACGAATTTTCTGCCTAACCCAATCGGAGTGAAAAAAAAGGAAAGTCGACCGTTTGACGCCGTGAGAATTCCCACATGGACTTCCCAAGTTTGTTCTTACTGACTCTACTCTCAGTTATTACTATCGTTACTAAGGATACAGATCCTGCGAGGAATTTTTGGGCTCAAGGCACCCGGCGCCACCCACGGTTTCTCGCTTCGTTCCCGCCCGCCGCACGGAGGCCGACAATACCACAAAAGGCCGCTATTTCCGGTATGAGATCCAGCCTGAGCATGATGACTACTTTGGCCACCAGGACACGTGCCGGGTGAGGGGTGGCAAGCTCGCAGAACCAACGAGCGGTCCGAGCAGGGACGGTTATTTCTGAAACCTTGCTGACCGTTGTGTCGTAGGCTGATTTGGAGTCAATGTTCAATACTACGCGAGATGTTGGCGGCAGGAAAAAAGACATCATTTTTCTCATCGGCATCGTCATGAGAGAGGTTTGCATAGGCGATGCAGAAATCACACAGAGGGATGCATAGGCGCTATATATTGCTGCATTTCTATGTGAATTGCCGGCTCGTGTCGTATGGCTCACAGAAATGCGACCCTGCCACTCAACGCCTTAACCACAGCTGCTGGACATTTGCGAGCAATCCAAAAGGAAAGGCTGCGCCATGGTTTTTCGGTTCGTAGCTGACTGCGACTGCGTCCAAATTGACCAGGACATCATGTGCATCCTCCCTGCCTGTGATGCGTCTCGTGTGTGTGCATTATGTAGGCACAAATTGGTGGGGGGGTAGTCCCACGAGGCAGCCCGACAACTATCGCAATGAGGGTCAGAGGTGCGCCTACTATATCAGCTCGATTTGGCCGGGGAGGACTAGTCAATACCAACTTAGAGCCCATCCTGCCGCACGGCGTCGTGGGTGATGAAGCATGCACTCACAAATTCCGCGCATTGTGCGAATCTCCCGCTACAAATACCACGGAAAGGTCCAACCTAAACCACACGAAGGACGGCATTTTACACAGATGAGACAAGAACTGGCAAGATGTTACTTGTGCAAGCGACACCTCAAGCTCGCCCCCTCCAGCCCGGTGATTATGCACAGCGGTTCCAGCAGGGTAATTATAGTTTTTTTAGTTCAGATTTAGTCAAAACTATTGTCACAGAACCAGTAAGTCATTGGGAAATAGGAGAGACGTCGCTAGGGGGGCGGTGGACAAACCGAGATGACGGCAGGGCAACACGTGAATGGTTTCAGATGAAGCTGCGACACCCGTTGTCCGCTTTCACTCATTCTGAATCCGCGCTGTCAACGGGGCCTACCTCCCGCCGGATCCAGAATTCAGACAAGGAGGAGGAACTTGCACCTGAGTGGAAATCCCCATGACAATGTCCAGAGAATGAACGCATGCGGCATATGCAGTATACACTTACACCCGTACCCGCAGCCAGACGAAGTGTGTAAGGTGTGAGTGTGTGTATGTCTACATGTGTCTCTTCTGATCAGACGCGCGAGGTCACTCGTGGAGGCAAGTCGCAATCCTGAGGAGTTTGTGATGGCAGCAACCCCAACTTCTCCATCGCTCTCATCCCAGGCAACTCAGGTGAGCATCAAGCTTGCGCACTAACTTCATAGTGCAGGGACCTTCAAGAAGGGCGCACGCACAAGCGACACATCATCGACAGAAACAACACAATGGGGCGTCGGTACGACGGTCAGGAAGGTGTGAAGCCGAGAATTTCTGGATCCCACATGGGTGTCTTCTCCAAGGTCATTATGTCTGTCATGACTTCCCATGATCTGTAGGTGTTTCACATGTGGTTTCTGTTCGCGGACCTGTCCTCGCGAGCAGCAGGTGCCATCTCCCTTCCGCATAAATATGTGTGTGGTCTTTTGTACACAGTGGGGCTATCCATGCGCGTCTTGTATGCATCTTCTAGTGCGCTGACGGAGAGTAGATTGTACTTCAGGTCAGGCACGTAGAGACACTTTATCAATCGCAGTTTGTGCGCCTTTGGTACTGCACTGCCGTGTAGGCTTTTTGTTCTGTTGGTGGCTTTCAGGTTGCCTCAAGGACCACCTCGCCCTCACCGGCGATAGGCACTTCGGCCCCGTTTGCCATTTTGAGACGGCTCTTGTTTCGGGCGATTGTTCTGCAGTCGACTAGCTGCAGAGTCTCCAAAAACATGAAGAGCATCGACAGCTTCAGCGTGAGCATCGGCTGCGATACTGCATTTCACAACTGAAGGACCTTCTCTAGCTGTCTCAGCTGTGGACAGTTCGATGTCAACACCCTCACTCTCTAGAAGGGTGTGACGTACATCTCTGTCTGTTCCTGTGGTGTCTTTGACACTCACTTTTTTTGTGGGTGTGTTTTGTGCCTGAGGTGGCAACGCACACCACGCGGCCACCAACAGGCAGAACGGAGCAGAAGACGGAAGGCGCTGCGCAACGCGGCCGACAGGAAGCACAGCAAATACGGCACAGAGGCGAGGGCAAGCAACTTCACCGTCATCCCACTGTCGACGGAGGGCTACGGACGGTGGGGGGACGAGGCGGCTGCCCTCCTCAACCGCATGGCTCGGCACATGCGGCCACCTGTCTATATGGAGGAAGGCGATGTGGAGTCTTTACGTGAGACAGCAGTGGACAGGTGGTGGGCTCGAATTAGTGTACTGCTGCAGAAGGGCTACGCACACATGGTGCGGAGCAGGGCGTGGCGGGCGAGCAGGTGGAATGGGCAGGAGAGGGCAGGGTTTGCTGAGGAGGTGCTGCCAGAGCGGGGGCCTTTCCACCCTAGTTGATTGCAGCGAGTGGGTGTACGGGGGTAGGCAGTGAATGCTTTTGGTTTAGATGTAAATATGCAATCGACTCTCCCAGGACAAGTATGGCCCTGCCACACAAGCAGCTGGCTTCCGGTTCGTGCCCCTCGCTGCGGAGACATTTGGCAGATGGGGAGAGAAGACGATGGACTTTCTCAAGATGCTCGCCACGCGGAAGCGTCGCCCCACATCCATTCCCACGGAGGAGGACACAGCTTTCCGGGAGACCATCGTCAACCATTGGAGCCAGCTTCTGTCCGTCGAGCTGATGAAGCACAGCGCGTTCCAAGCGGCGAGTCGTGCACAGCGCGCTGCGGCCGCCAGAGGGCCACGGAGGGCCAGCGCGTTTCCCGAGGACTTCGTCAGCCGCGGGCCATACAGGCCACACACCAGCCCCGCTCCGGGGCTGTGAGGTGGCTGGCTGGATGCTGGGTGTATTTTGGTGCAAATCAACCACAACCCCCGCGAAACGTGCGGCCGTTAAATTCCATGACGTGCATATATGTCATACACGCTTTGCTCCATGGCGTTCCGACCAACCCTTCTGATGCTGGCAGTAGCAGCGCTGGCGGCTTCAGACAACATTCGGGCCCGCCCCATTACAGACAGAGTGCTGGAAGAAGGGCGATGCTCAACGAAGCAGAAGCACTGCGAGAAGTGTGGGAAGGCGGCCAACGGACGAGAGGTTTGTGAGCTGTGTGAGGCAGGCTTTTTTTTGCGCGGGACAAACTGCCCACGTGAGCAGACTCCAGAGGAAGGGGGCTATCTGTCCTTTGCATATCTGGTGTGTCGTCATTCAGATATGTACCAGTGCAGGGTGTTGAGTGACGTGGTCATCGGTGAAGGCGAAGCAAACGACGTCGCGGAAGCAGGGTGTGCGCCTTAAGTAGGCCTCCACCTCCCTCCATCCGTCGTCGTTTCTTCTTCTCCTCAGGCTTGTTTCTTCTTTCGCTGAGTGTCATCACCAATGTGCCACGACACCCAAATGCCAAGCATTGTCGTTTTACATCGACGGCCGTTGCGTCCTCAAAGATGGTTCTGCTCTTAAGAAAATGAGCTTTGAGCTGGGAGTCAAGAGCGCCAGGCTTGACTGCGAGAAGATGGACGACGTGGTACGAAGAGGCTGCCAGCTATCCCGCTGTGGAAAGTGCGGCGAGAGGGAGGGGGATTGTTTGCAGTGCCGTAGTGGTTTTATAAGGAATGCCGAGGGAAAATGCGAATTCGAACACGACGAAGGTGGAGAACAAGAGAAAGATTGC